TGCAAGATGTATTACAATCCATAATCGATGCCAACAATGTCGGCAATTCGTCAACCAGCAAGAGTAGCAGAAACCGACATTCAGTCAGTTCATTAAAGTCAGAGGCCAGCGTTGGAATATGGATATCTTTTGGAATAGAAATTCCGGGCTGACATCCTCGCACCTCAAATTCTGCTTACCCCAAGCCCAAAATTAAGATTTTCTGAAATCAGCTACCGTGTCTCTTCTGTCTGGCCTGCTCCTTGCTGCCATTTTCCACCATGCATATCCAACTTCCTAGAACAAAAAGCCGGCAAAGAAACACACAGAAAGCGAAACGAAAACTGAAATACGGCTGCATCATTAAATTTAATATGATACTCATTTAATGAAATTGTTGCCGATTTGTTTTGAAAATACACGCGCTTGCTCCGCCCGCAACCTCCTTTCCCCGTTCTCTGTTCTCCGCCCGAGTCCCTTTAGCTCCTTGGAGTGCGACGCCTCCGAAACAGTGAGGGAGGTAAGTTCCTGCCCTCCACCCTGCCCTAAGCTCCGACTTTGGCTTGGGCTTCAACCTCGGTTTCAGTTTGGGTTGAGTCTGAGTTCTGGGTGCGGCCGGGTGCCTTGGGGGCGTGGCTGAGAAAGTGCAATATTGCGAACATGGCCGGGTAATGACGACAACGTCATCGCCATCGAAGCCGCCGCTGGCTCGCCAGGAAATCCACTCTGGCCGCAGGATACCAGAAGGTTAGGAAAAATCAACATACAAACTATAATTTACATACCAAATTATTTGGAACAAGAAAATAAATAACTACATTTTATAAAAATACTTAGTATTTTTTCCCACCACTTCTTTTTCATCGTTTCTCACAGTGTACCGTGTTAGTTAGCGGCAAAAATCATTCGAATGACAGCGAAACGTAAAAAGCTCGGAAAGTGTTAAGTGGTTCCTCATTAAACTTTATGTACTTCTCTGCCCCGCCGTCTGTTCGTTTCCGTTTGGCCCAGACTGCTCCTGTCCTCCTGCCCGCTCCTCGACTGGCCATTGTGTTTGTGTGAGCGTTTTGGGATCAGGGATGGGGCCTAAACGATTGCCCTACCAGTGTCATTAGCACTTTTAACCGCATATTAAATTTAGCAAAGCCTTGATTAACGGCCTCGCACTTCATTTTTGTGCATTTGACCAGTTCCGGTTCCTGTTTCTGGCCGATACTCTCCACCTAACGCACTTGGACCTGGGCACGCTGGTCTGCTACCGAAAATCTTATCTTTCAATGAGTCGCCGAGACAAATGACACGTGATTTTATTTGATTTACTTACATCTGCAGCTCAATTTTCAGTTTGACTTCTGGTGTGGCGAGTATCTCGTTCTCCAGCTTTTTGTCGCTGGCCTTTCTTATGGCCAACAGTTACAGATACAGTTACAGATACAGTTCCCTGCGTCTTCGGCCCGGCCATTATCCGAAATGATTCGATCATTAGCGACGTCGTCGTAGTCGGGATTGCTGTGTTCTTTCGGCATTACGGGTAATTACTGGAATGTTGTGACAACATTTCCCTGCCTTGTCTTCAAATTACTTAATTTTAATGGGGAACCATATCGTACAAAAAGATTGAGATATCCAAAGAAGTGTAGGTGGCTCTCTATTCCATCCTTTTATGAATTCTTAAGGAACCCAACAGATAATTTTGATAAGGAAAGTAGTGGCGGAAGAGTATTGAAGTGTATAAGGAAGTCTCTGAATGTTTAGCTTTATCATGATAATCTTTGCATTTAAAATAGATTAGAAATGAAATGTAATGATTCAATTTTCTTGGAAAGGTATTTTATTATTCATTTTTCCTTAAATTAATATCTTTGGAACTAATTTTTAAATAAATCTTGTAGATTTTGTTAAACAATACTTTTATCCAAAATTAAATAGATTAAAATAAGTTATCAAACATAAAAAATGTTAAAAATAGTTGAAAGGATCTTGCTAAATAATCAAATTAAAATTAAAAAAAAAAAAAATTGAAGCCTTTTTGTTGTTTTTTTTTAATTATTTAAAAAAGTTAAATGTTTTTGTATTATGTATATATTTTATATTATTTTTATAAATGTTTACTAATTTTTTCAAGAACTCATTTCGACCATAGAAACACGGAAATTTAAAGTGGGATTATTTTTTAGGGACACATATCTTTCGATTTTTATATACAAATATATTTCTATAAAAATTTATTTTTTTTATAAAATCCACCGGCGGCAACTTTGCACCGACTCTTTCGGATCGCCGGCAAATGGTTGCCCCTACGGCATGGCGCATCTGGCGGCAACAACAACTACAACCGAAACCACACTCACACCAACAAAAGCAAGATGTCAGAACGACGGCCATATTGAAAATCAGTCAAGTATTTCGAAACCGGTGGGCGGAGCCACCGACGCGCATGCGGGGGTGCGAGCGAGGCGACAAGTGTGCGGAGCGGCCATGCCGACGCCGAAACTCGAATGTTTCATGTGGATGCGGCATGTGGGGTGCTCGCAGGTCGCATGCGCATCGCACGGCCGAGGAGGATGAACTGCGGAACGTTTTCCGGGCACCAGGTCCGGGTTCCAGGTCCGGCCGGCGCTCAGGCTCGACCTCGAATTCGAACTCGAACGGTTGTCCTGGTGTGGGTGCGCTCTCTCAGGTAACTGTCATGGTATTGGTGGCATTTTGCGGCAGTATTGGTGCGATCTTCGAAACAACGCAGTTCGAAATCGTTTTCGAATTCGGCTCAAAACCGGACTTGAATTCGGTTTCGACTTGGGTCCAGAACTGGTTTTGCTTAGGGCCCAGTTTACCTGCTCTCTCTGGCCAAGTTCGTTTCTGTAAATGTATCTGTTGCCGACTATCTTTGTATCAGTGAGTGTGATGGGTCCAACTGCGACTCCAATATTCCTGGCAATAACCACTGAATTTGGTTAGGCGGTTGCCCGAATCGCTTTTAGGGAGTTAATATTCTATTAGAGGCTCATTTGTGTGATTGCCATCAAGGATGTTTGGCTTTCTGCCCGCTGCAACTGGCAAATCGCAATTTGCGATTCGAAATTGATTTGGCAATGGGCAAACGTTTGCAACAGCTCAATTGAATGCCTGTATGTTTTCCACTCTTGTAATTATCGCCGCCAGAACGACCTATGATTTATGTGCTCCGATCGCCTCGGACTCTCGATATCTCCGTGATGGATGGATCGATGGCCGATCGATTGATGGATTGTGTGAACCCGGTCTCATAGCACTTGTCCGCTGGAATCGCACAGTCTTCATTATTGGCCCGGAGTCGAGTGTATTTCTGACATCTTGCTTTGTTTCCTACAAATTTTCAGCCAGTCCCAATTTGCTTTCCGTAATTAATGATTTATTTCAGTTTTTTTGAAGTGCTGTCTTAATTCCAGCGAAGTGATTATTGATAGTTTGTCTATCGCACTCACTCGATCCGAAAGTGTGAGATGTCTCAAGTGACTTGCTGTTCACATCAGTATGGCCCTAGGCCAAGATTGTGTTTCAATTTCTGATATGGAGATGGCGGAGGTTTGCTGAAAGACAATATATCACACCTTTACATCATTATTTTCAGCGACTTGTTTCGGTTCATTTGGTAGAAGATAATTTGGTATAAGATGTAATTTAGATATCTTTCTCTCAAAACAAAAAGCTGGAAATAGCAAATAATAAAAATAAAATAAGGGAACAAAAGATATTTAATAATTTTACTCATAATGAGCATTTTATTCAGAGGAGACTCAATTTAAGGCCAATACCTCTATTCTTAGAGGCTAGGAATTATTTTATGAATTATATTACATGTACATGAATTAACCGAAATATTGCCACATTAATTAAGAAAAACATTATGGATAATTTAGTAGAAATTACAAAACTGTCGAAAATATCTATTTAATAAACCGTAGAGCTCATTATCACACCCCATCGAGTATAAGATTTACAGCATAAACAGTTTTGCAGTCAAAATTATATCAATGTGTAGGTCCTCCGACTAGACTAGGTTGAATCATAATGAAAAGTCTTATAGAGGGCAGTGAAGGAACCATTTTTAATTAACTTCAGCAGACCGAAAACCAAATAGGAACTCAAAGTTGGCAGAAAATCTTGTCCTCTCGATGTCGCTGTTTCGGCCATGGAAATGGAATATTCGCCTTCGCATCCGTGAGTCCAAATTGGCAGCTGCTCAAAACCATGGCTATTTATGTAAACTGGAGACGCGTTGTGATTGAGGGAAACACTTTTGCGGGAATGTTGACATCTATCGCGCCTGCAACCAGACAGCTAGGGAGATTGGTGGGAAATTCCGCCATTGAAGACACACATATTCTGGCCGAATCGTATATATGATTTTGTGACAAAAACGTGAGCACATTCACTGAATACTCGATTACAAATGGCTGGCGATTATGCCAACAATGCGAATTCAATTTGTTTGGGCTCCTGACTGCCGGAGACCGGGTGAGTAACAGTTCGAGTTCAGGTGAGTTGAGCGGATGCGGGTGGAGCAGCTGGTGATCGTGGTCTTTGGGTCCGGACTCCGGGGCTCAGGTGTCTGGGTCGGCCATTGGTCAGTGTTTTGTTAATGCCACTTGATTAATCGCTTATTATGATGTCAGATTAATAAGATCGTTTTCAAAAATGGTCCGAGATCGGGGCCTGAAAAAAATAAATGTTTAGTTTGCCATTCTACATGAAATTGTTATGTTAAGTCACTGCTTACCCTCTGACATAATCATTGGCCATGGAAAATCTGCATTGCATTTGGGTCTTGAAAGTTGTCACAAAGTAACTGGAAATAAAGTATGTCATTATATACTGAATTTTTGCAAAACGTAATTAAACTCACCTTCATATTTAAGAATGTCCTTTCATAGTTCCACCCCTCAATAAATAAAACATGTTAGAGTAAATTTTTAAATACTATATTTTTATTATAAATATTACAAATAAAAACAAAATCTCATTTGTAATTTAATTATAATTTTTCATTATGCTTTTTGCTTTGCCTTTACAGCTCTTCAACTGCATTCATCATCATGTTTATACTAAAATTTTAATTTTATTTACAACAAATTGTTTAGCTTCCACATTTCGTTTCAATTTCGCACAAATGTTTGGGTTTTCTTTTAGTTTTTATTTTTTTTTATTTTTGTTTATTCAAATATATATATATATTTTTTATCAACGCATTCGAATTTTGTTTCTTGTGAATTTCTACATCCTATGTTCATTTTAAATATTTTTGAATTGAAACTTAAATAGTTAGTTTCTTACAGAATGAGGCCGAAAGTTACGTATCTGGATTGAGTTGAATTCCGTTCTCATGGGTGTTTATAGCCAATCGACTGAAAAGTGTTCATTTTTTCGATATCCTTTGACAATTTCTTTTCATGCAAATCACAAATCCTTTCACCTGGGACTGGGAATCGGTTGGGGGTAATGGGTAAGGGGCTGTTTGGGGGATTTACAAAACGAAACGCTCTACAAAGTTACGAGTTTTATATTGGGTTTGTTTAATTATATATCTACATATAAACATACGATGCTTTACTATTTTCTCTTCCATCCTTTCATTCGTTTGACTTTGGTATATAGATCTCCACATCTGGCGTGGAAATTGAGTTTGAGTTACGTACATACATTTATATAGTTGTTAGGCGTATATTCATATAGAAATCGTTCGGTTCTGCGTTCAAAAGGATTCCCCATATACTCGAATAGTTATTCACTTCACTCACATCATTTACTACTTTACAGGGTTTTCAATATTTATACATATTCTTTGAGTTCTTGTCTTGTTAACAATTCGTATTTGTTTTCATTAATTTGCCAATTCATATTTTTGCTTTATCGGTATACTTTATATCCTTTTCGACCTAATTCGAATTATATTTTTTGCAAGAACTAAAAATTGCACAAGAAATTATAAATTACAAAAAAAAAAACACGCAAAACAATTTTATTTTCAAGTCGAGTATATCTGCAAATTGGACAGAAGTCGGATTTTAAGTTTTTCGAAAGTTTTTAAGCCAAAGATCCTTATCCCTTCACGTCCTTGCTGAATTTTGCCAATCGTTTGCGATTTCCTACTATTCATAGTTACGACAGAAGTATGGTATAGTGTTTTTATTGTAGATGAAAACGTTTTGTTTACTTTAAGCAACGTCTTTCTGTGGTTTTGGTATTTCTTTGTCTAAATTGGCGAACTTCCCTTAGGGAGAAGTCCTCTATTAACATGTTCTGCTTTATAAAATGTTTTGGGTTTCTTTGAACCAACATGCAATGGATTTTGACGCCACATTTTTTTATTATTTTTATTGGTTTTTATTTAATGCTTTTGCGCTAGGATTGCTACAAACATTGATTTAGTTTACTGTTTAGGGTTTAGGGTTTATGATGGGTTTGTATATATAAGTTAATAGTACTTATGACGCGTAAAACTAATGTTATCGTGTATATAGTATATATGCTTCATATATATTTATTTATATATAACTCCTTGCCTTTAGCTTTACTTGGTATCATGTATAGTTATCCATATATTTATACGTATATATATGCATTATAGTTAAATATAGCTTATTTAGATCTGAGGTCACATGAGTTGGTTTTGTTTGAGTTTTACGCTTTACTTGTATCTTTATCGTAATCGTTATCTTTACGTTTATCTTAGTTCGCTTTCTCCACTCGCCATTCGTGTACAATTAAATAATAAGTAGAAAATAATAACAATTAACTAAGTTTTAGGTTGAGTTCTGAGTTCTGAGCTCCTCTCTTTGTTTAGTTAAGTTCACGCGAAGTTCAACGAATTGGATAGATAATAGATAGATAGTCCTCTGGGATCGAAGTAAATTCATATTCATTTGCGCTCTCCGAACTAACGTAAATTGTATTTAGATAGAAATTTCATTTAACTGGACTCCCGTCCCCGATCTACTGCGGACTGTTGGGTGGCGTAATCTCGTCGCCCTCGCCTCCGGATCCCGGCTCGCCCTTCGTCTTGTTCTCCTTCTTCCACTTCATGCGACGGTTCTGGAACCAGATCTTGATCTGGCGCTCTGTAAGGCAGAGGGCATGGGCGATCTCGATCCTCCGCCGGCGGGTCAAGTACCGATTGAAGTGGAACTCCTTCTCCAGCTCCAGAGTTTGGTAGCGTGTGTACGTCTGACGGCCACGTTTGCGTTCTGTTGGTGCCAAAAGTGGAAGAAAATATTCACAATTAAAATCAATGCAATGATGCTAAACCGATCACCAAATCAACGGCAACAACAACAACTACTACAACTACAGGTCGACTACAATGCGTACAACAACAAGAGAGGGATAAAAAAAATACATATATGTATATATCTTTGGATGTGCACTTTTGTTCTTTTAGAGATGAGGGATCCGAGAACCGAGAAGGGGAACCCAAAACCACATGAAGCAAGGCGCTGAGACTCAGATACAGAAACTGAGGCTGATTAAAAGACAACCTTACCGAATTCGGATATTTGTACTTGTCAAAAAAACGAAAAAAGAAAAAAACAGGGCCTACAACAGGTCTGTGATGAGGGGCGGACGCAAAAAGGGGTCTCCTCTCTCCTCTGTCGGGCATCCCGATAGGAACTCGGGGTTTAATTTTCAACAGATACCCTTACTAAGGTATGACCGACTTAGGCAAAGGTTTAAGTATGTTATAATAATATGAGGAAAAGTATTCTTTAAAGACTTTTGAGAGAATCTATGTTTTTAATGCATTTATTTTTAAAATTTTTTTAATTTTTTTCCTAGCAATGGTAGACCATTCAAATCTCGACATGACCCCCAAATTACGATTCACTTGTGGATTAAACCAGACGGAGATTTCATGGACATCAAGCGGCGAGCAGACAAGGTAACTAATTATGCCCCAATGCGCTCCGTCCGTCCGTCCGTCCGCCTATCCGGGCGTATCTCTGCCCACAAACCGGAGGGGTATCATGTCTGTGATTCAGTCAAGTGCAGTTTCACCTCTGAACCCCCACCTCGGCACCGATTTTCATCCCTCCCCTTGGACGGTAGCCGGGGCATAACTGTAAAATAATTCGGCATAATTACGGAGCCAACCTCCGACGCCCACTGCAACCCCCTCAGATGAGTACATTTCGAAAGTCAGCCAACCAAATGAGCCCGGCGCCTAATGACACTTACTATAATTATAATTTCGGTAATGACAGAAAGAGCCAGCCCTGTGAAAATGTCGGGAAAAAATATGTCAAATATAATACGCAGCAAATATTATAATTGTCAATGGCAATCCACTCCCCCGCTGCCCGGTTTGGTCAAGTAATTGAAATGGGTTGCTAGCGTGAGAAGCCATTTTCGGGTGGAGTTTTCCTGGCTTTTGGTGGCCGGTTTCTTTTTAATTTTTTCAGAGTTTCGGGGTTTTGGAAAATGTCCGGGTGTGGAGTGGCCGGAAATTGGAAGGCGGCCACAGCAGCATTGGCATTGCGGTGGCTTTTGACCAACGGCTAGCCACGCCAAGCGGCAATCAGCAGAAACTTGGAGTGGGCTCCCATACCCCTCCATCCTCCGAGCTCTATCGCCCGCCCCTGAGGTGGGCAGTCTTAACTATTTTTTAATAACATCTTCAGCATTTGTCTTGCTCAACTCGCTCGACCAATTTTTTCTTTTTTAATATTTTATAATTTTTTTTTTTGTCTTCCATCACTGGCTTGAGGTCATTACATCATAAGCTCTTTTATGTTTTTTTTTTCTCCTAGCCAGTTTTTTTTTTGTGCGGCATCCCATTAAGGAGCGCGAATCCAAATCGCATAGAATCCGAGAGGAGGCTGGGGGCTGGGGGGCAGGCCACGGAAAAAAGGGATAGCCGGCACAGCGGTGGTCAGAGCAGCTACCTTCTTTTAAATGACACGGCTGATGCCATGTCTATAACCTGAGGCACTCGCATTTAATCATCATCAGTTAGACGAGTCGCTGTGGCGGCAAAAAAATCTTGAAAGATTTGTGGCAAAAAGCGTGCGTGGTCATCCCCCTTGGCGACCCCTTGCCGCCACAACTGGATGCTGCAGTCGCCGCAGAATCCGCGGGGAAGGCCAACGAGAGCTGAGCATTAGGAGCGGATTAAGAGCGGAATAAATGGGATGGACTTTCACCCAAGACGACGGCCGAAAAAAGGCTTACACAAATTCTATATTTAGTTGCCGTATAAAAATAACTGATGGCTGCTCTTCTTAATTGTTTTTAACATATTCAAGTCAGATTTAAGCCAGATGCCCGCGAAGCATGAAAGTCATCCAGGGTTTCCCATACGAAGATCTCTATCTCATTCCCTATTCTGTTTAGGTTAATAAACATTCCCATTTCCATTTGCATTTCCACTCCCATTTCACGTAACAGAAGCTTTTGCTGTTAATTTGCAGCACAAAGCTGTACGCCTCCCCCTCATGCATTGCAAATAAATGATTATTTTAATTGATGAAAACACCTACTAACTTAGTTTGCAAGTTGTGCTCCTACTGGGATCTGGGATACCTCCCTGAGAAGCCAAGTCCAAAACGAAGTGGATGAGTGAATGGTTAGAGGGGCGTGCTTTGGCAATTTGAAAGCGGGCGCTCTCTGAAATATGCTTTTAATGATGGCTTTGCACATTTCATATGGCCATCTCTCATCAAAAAAACAACTAAGAGAGAAAAAAAACTACAAACTACAACAAAAAGATTGTTTTTCTTAGATACTTTGAGGCTAACGTTGATCGGTTGGGGCGCCCATTTCTGGACAGGAGCTTCGAACTGCAGCCTGAAAAATTATTATAAACGCATTAATGGCGCTTTGAAAGAGGGGACTGTGCGCTACCCGGTGGAAGTATCAACAACAGAAATATAATAAAGGTGAAACAATTAATATGAAAAAGAGTAGCGATACATGTGAAGTACCAAAGGCAAGACCTCAGAGTACTCCGCTCCCCTGGCACGCCTCCGCCCCCTCAGCTGGCCCATCAACCGTCCAGACAAAGTGGCTCAGTGGTTGAGTGACGGACCGAGTGGACCGGGAGCATTAATGCTTTTTGATATGAAAGCGTATTGTAATTAAATTGCGATTAGGCCACCATTTTAACCATTTTACTCGTTTATTACACTGCTCCGGCACCATAATGGATTTTATTTCATTTTCTTCCCCAGCCCCTCCCCCGACTCCCCATAGCTCCTACTCAATCAGCTGCCTTCCTCGCACACACAATTACATTAGTGGCATGTACACTGTAGTGTATAGTGTATGTGTGTCGGTTAACGTTTAAAGGAAATCATTAAAATAATTGCTAACAACATTTTATGGAATTCGTTGAAGCAGGAAAAATTAAAAAACATTATTTAATAGCTCGAAAAAAATTCTATTTTATAATGCCCACCATAAATTATTATATTGGCAGAGATTGCTTCTTCATCAAGCACGCGCCCTGTCGAGCGGAACTAAAACAATGGCACAGGTGTGGCACAGGTACCGAGAAGCTAGGAAACTAATATGCAATTACAAGTATTATTAAAAATATTATTAGTTTATTGCTAATTTTTTATTCTAGCTTTTTATATTGCTTTCTATAAGTTTCCCCTACTTTTAATATTTTTTAATAAAATAGTTGGAAGATTCTCTCTATTTTTTGGGTAAACCATAATTGCAATATCATCGATAGCCTCCAAAATACATGACTTGGCCCCGGGTTAAGGCTGACATATTCCATCTCCGTACTGGGTGGTCCTCAGTCACTGTTGCCGTTTTCTTAGGCCAAAAAGCCGCCTCGTCATGCAACAAATACAAGATACAAAAATGCATTTAGCATCTACAAAACGAAACGCAAACAAGTACAAGCCATTGGCAAAATAAAAAAAAAAAAAGCTCACATCAAACGCGAGTAAATGTTTTTTTAATTGCGGAAATTACAGACAAACGCGAGCCGCCACAACAAAAGCTGCAAAATTATTATTATTTATGATCGTAAGTTGATAAATTTTTCATCCAGCTGAAGAGTGTTCGTGTGTGGCATTTTGCAAGCCTAGGCAGAAATAAAAAGTTGTGGATGCCACTGTTGATGTCACTATATTCTCTACGCTGTTCTAGTGTGAATTCGCCAACTCATTCGATGACTTTGTGCTAAATATTTAGACGGCTTGTGGCGGCGGGGAGACGGCAGAGGTGGCAATGGACTCGGGGGAAAAAAATTGAAGTGGGTGAGCTTTCCCGACTAGAAAGTTTTCCACCCATTTGATTGTTTTGCATATTTGACGTATTTTTGCCATCCGAAACTTTTCGTCCGGGGGGCCTCGACCTTTGGGGAGTTGTCCGAAATGGTACAGAAAGGAACACGAATATAACTCGAATATTTCAAAAAACACATCTGAGGTTTTATGTCTTTGGCCGCCTCTCGAGCAATTTCTCTTTTTTTTCACCCTTTTTTTTAATTAAGTCCAAGAATTTTCACTCTTATTAGCCGAGGTAAGAGTCACAATTAAGCATTGGCATTGACCATTTCATCATTTGTTACCAGTGTTTTGTAATTTTCATCCTTTTGCCTTTTTCCATCTGTTTTTAATCTCAGGAGACCCGGCAGAGTTTTTAATTTGGGACTTGTTAAGCACTTAAGAGGGTTAAAAATCGAAAAAAGTTGACATCAAATAAAACTCCCAAAAAAACCAAAAAACCGAGAGAAGACACAAAAAACAGAAAGGATCACCGAGGAGCTGACTGGGGGCTTATGAATGCATTCATTATACCACGCAGGAGAAAGGGAAGGAAACTCTAAACTTTATTTAGTTATATCTTTAAAAAAAAAAAACAAAATTTAGGGAAGAAATACAAGGGAACTATGCGAGTCAACTGATTGTTCTTTTTTAGGTTTCTTCTCATCACTATCAGTCCTATACACTGGAATCCAAAATTGAGACTAGTTATTATACTAATTATATATTAAATTTAATAATTAAAGTTTTCTAAATATAATATATTTTCTATCTTAGAAAAATCTTTTCTATTATTAACTCAAAGTAAGATTATAATAGAATATATTTTTTTTGTAGTGTCTGGTATCCATTCCCCCATTTTGGATGCTCAGTGTGGCCATGGCTACCCATGTCAAAATATTTGACAGCTGACTAAAACACGCTATTCGAGGGTCTCCAAAGAGGAGCAGAGCGGAACACTGCGGATAGAGAAAGAGAGAGAGGCTCATATCATGTCCCTGAGCGAGCCGAATGCCGAAAACTCTCCCCGTTGCTGTGTCTCGCTTTCTCCAATGGCCGCCTCTACCATCATGGCAGCCATGGAAACATGTGGCCTGACATTGACGACGTTGACGTCGACAGCGGCAGAAGGAAGAAGGAGGAGGAGAAGGATGCTGCGGTGGCGGTGGGGGAAACTTCAAGGCAATCTCCGCTCGATAAAGAAAAGCTTAGTGGGCAAGGGTAATGACAACTATAATGGAAGCAAATTATGGAAAACACTTGAGGCTGAACAGAAAATTACTCAAAGCTGGCTAAATTGAGTTCGAAATTGGCTTCAAAAAACTGTTTAAATATTTTTAAAAATATATGAAAATTTTTAGAAAATTCCCTTATATTAAGACCAATTTGTAAGACATTAAAACTACGCTTTTAACTTCAAATTAACCTTCTTTTAATATTTAAAGTAATACTTCCACTAACCCACTTTCAACTAACCAGTAATTCCTAAAGAATTAATTGAAAATGGATTCATTTAAAAGGAAGCTCTTTTAAAGGGCCTACTCTCCTTTCGCAAGTGTTTTGCATAACCTCAAATTAATAATTCCTAACTAGTTTCGGATGCTTCCGAGCCCCCAACCCAACAGTATCCGTCAGATACATTTTCAACGGAATCCCAAACGCAAAAGCGCGGACCGCAGGAGGCCCAAAAGGATCGAGCGGGTCGGGAGCGAGAGCGGGAGCGGGAGAGCTTCCTCACTTCATTGTTGCATGAATAATATTCGTAATTTGTCAAAAGGTTGGCCAAATCCCAAAATAACAAAAACACAACAGCGGCACAGAAGATGAAGAAAAAAAAAATGGAAATGGAATCCGAAAAACAGAGCTGCGATTGAGCCACAAACCGCCACATCCCTGTGAAAGACCCCCATTTACGTCCAAAACTGACCCATCTCCGAGCTCTGGGTCTCCCCAAGGACCTTTGGCGAGCTGTTGCCATTATTCTGCTCCTCAGCTGGCCACAAAAGGAGCCGGCCAGTGGTGGCAACCGAAATAAAAGCGAAATTTCCTCTTCGCATTTGCTGCGCCTTATTAAACTTTTCCCCCCAAAGGGGAGTATGGTATGGTGTGGTGTGGCATCGAAATCCCCAAAGTTCCTGTGTCATTTTTTTGCGCTTCACGTTGCTCAAATTTTTTGACAGACCCCTGTCAGAGGGTGGGTTTTGCCTCTATATACGTAATACGTATATTTTTAGAAAAAATCTTCACGCATTTTGGCAAATTATCTTTTGATCCGCCCGCTTAAATGGCCCGCAGAAAAAAAAAAGCAGAAAAGCGATGGAGAAGAAGGAAAAATCTAAAGGAAAATGCGTTAACACAATTTCACTTTGGTGGACACATCTAAGCCAGGGCAATCGTCCGCCTAAGTAGTTGTTTTCCACCCACGATGGCCTCCTCCCTGACTGCCTGTCTCTCGGCCATCGAAAAGTAGTTTGCGCGCAAATCCTCAAGTTAAGCAAAACTCTCCAGGACATTAAGTGCAGCGCCAACAGACAACAAAGTCTAGGGATGGCAAAGTTTCCTCCGCTGGCAACTGCCAAACGGATGATGGCCGGGATCAACGTTTTACCAAAAGCCAGGGCAAAAGTTTTTCCAGTAGACAACGTGCAACTTTTTGGCCAGCACCGAAGTTCTTTTCATTGTCTTGAACCCCACTGACAGCTCCTGGCTGGGGCTGGGGCTGGGGCTGGGGCTGGGACGGAGGGGCAACTGTCGCTTATAATGCGCACAATGAAGTGCACTTTTCATACTCGTACTAGCCGGAATTGAAAAGTGCTCCAGTATTTCCATTTTGGGTTAACGAGGGATTTCAAGAGCCGTTTGAGTGAATCAGAGTAAGCAGCCCTCTGACAGCTGCAATAAAAAATGCATTTATGCAACAGAAACCAAACTATTTGTGGTAAAGTATGGAAGAGTACATGGGTATCCCTACATATATATAATATTCCTTTAAAGAGCTAACATTTTTACTTGTGTATAGTGGTCTAGTCCAATCCAACAGGCAAACACTTGTTGCAAAAATTTGTTGACTGTCACTGAAATTTATGACCCCGAATGGTGGAGACCACAAAAAGCCAGTAAAAGGATTCAGGGCCATCCCCATTATCAACTGGAAGTGAGGCTAGGGTCTACGGGCTGAACTTGGTAAATATCAAAACAACATTAACGCAAAACAGCCGGATGGTAGAAGGGCTCCCCAGCTCCATTGTTGTTGACTGGCATCTATGAGTAACAACTTAATTGAAACAGAGTTTCGTTTTTCCACTATATACACACTGATAGAATCCAAAGAGCCTGGCCCAGTCACGATCGGAACCTTTGTGGCACCTTTGTTGCCTAATGTTGAAACAGACTTGAAAAATGTCCAGGCGTTAAGAGGTGGCAAGCGACTCACAGTGGAAAATAGAATTAGAATTAAAATTAAAATCAAAGAACTATTAGCTATTTAATAATAATTTAATAAATCCTTAAAAATCCCTCAGATTGGATCTGTCTGAAAGCCAATTTATATCCGCCCGAGGCAGGCAACTAATTTTTGATTATTTGTCCCACTGTCTCTGACTATTTATGGGCTATGCAAAATGCACCAAAAGAGGCAAGAGGCAAGTGGCAAGCGGGAAGCGGCAAGGAGCTATGCAGGAACAACATCTCGCCGAGCAAAAAACCTAAGCAGAAATAAACTCGTATGCATTTAATCATCGTAACTTAAGCTCGGGGATCATGTTGTGGCACAGTGAGAATGCCGCAGTTTGCCGCCGCGGGAGACGCCGGCCAGGCGAACTCCAGCTTTAATTCTGCAGCCCCCCTTTCAGCCCCCCGCTTTATTTTTAATAAAGAAAAGAAGTTAAATAAAAAAATAAGAGGAAAAGAGAGGAAAACTTCGTGTCACCGTGGCCGGTTGGTTGCCGTCCTTTTTAAGGCGCGTTTCTTTTTATTTTTTTTTTTAATTTTTTGCACCGCCACAAAAGGGAGGTGGGTGCAGCGGCAGAGGGACGGGATTAAGACGACGGAGTGGCCACTGCGGAGTGGTGCTATGAATGGAGCCTCGGCGTGTTCTGGAGATTAATAAATTGATGGCATCCATTGCACATAACGTGTAACTAATGGCGCTCATCAATTCTGCTTTACATCTCAATCTGGCTTTGGCGCAAAAAAATACATCCAGCAGGAACAACAAAAAGCCACAATAACAACAGCAGAAACTCCAGGCTTCAAGGAGGAGAGAAGAGCAGGAGATGGCCAGAAAAGCTCTTTGGATTTGGTAATGACCCAGGAGCAGGTCAGGCTGCGAAAAGGACGAGCCACTTGAGGCCAATGCTCACTTTCTCCAGCGAGAAAGAAAGTGAAAGGCGGATGGAATTCTATATTTGGAAAGGACTCGCCTTACTTATCCCAATTTCCTTCGAAAGGCAACCCAATACCCGCCCCACTTATGCAACATCCTTTTAGCCACATGCAGTCTCTGTGTGCTCTAGTTTCTTGAGCTCTCATTAGTTACGCCTTTGGGTTTTTGGCAAAAACCTATTCTCCGACTCGGGGTCGGGACTATTGTCGATTTGCATTAGCCGGCAGGACCGCCTCCTGCGAAGGAAAATCAGTCCCGGGAGTGAGCACCTCTTCCGCCACCTCTTTCTTTTTTCATCTGCCAGCATTCATCGATTTTTGGGATTTGGGAAATTCGCAAATTTGAACGAATGTCAGGTATCGAGACGGCCTTTGTTGGCCGTGCCTCGCTGCAGATGGATTACGGCTAATGTCGAGCAATTGGCCAAGGCAATAAAGTGAAATTACCCGGACGTGTCAAGGCCGTCGAAGGGCGGGTGGTGGTGACTGAAATGCAAAACACAAACAAAAGAAGAGAGCGGGAAGAGTTTATGAAGATGAGGGGCAGGATTTGCTTTAAGTAACATCTTAGAGATTTTTAAAAATTTTAATTTCTAAATTTGTTATACAGAAATCTATTAAAAACCTTAATACAAAGTTTAAAATAAAAACTTTTCGAATAGGTACTGCTTGATTATTGATCTTATCGTAAGCATCCTAAAACTGCTTTGTTTCACTGCTTGGCTCCTTCTAGACACGACCGCTAGATGGCGCCCCTAGGACTAGCAAATGATAATTTTGAATAATAAATATTTTATAACTCTTATTGTTGTACGCATTAATAAATGTTTTTCTAGTGGGAACTAAAATCAATTCTAACGGGGGACTAACTACTTCAACCCACTACTATAAGAAGAAGAAAAATTCCACTTAATACGTTCGTGGAATTGTCGATCACTTTCCTTGACACTTACCAAACTGACTTCGCATCCAGGGATACAGTGGAGACGGCATCCCCGAGGATTGCGAGTTCGGGTTTTGGGAAGGGGGCGTGTGTTGGCCGGGATGGCCCTGGTGCATCTGTGGTGGCCCTTGGCCCTGGTGCATCATGCCTTGTGGTGGTGCACCCACCGGCGGTACTCCCGTCTGCTGCTGTCCGTACATTCCCATGTTGTGATGATTCTGGTGCACCTGGTGATTCGGAATTATTCAGAGTTAGTAACCTCATTATGGCGACAAGTTCCACCAATTACTGCTAGATGTGGCAAGCGGTTGTGGGAAGAGTGGGTCTTACCTCTGTCACGTCGGGAACTCCAACGTCCGTATACCCCAACTGTGGGTGCGAGCAGCGAAGCAATGTGAGAAAGAGAGATGGAAAAGCGTTAAGGTGTTAAGCGATATAAGCAGGTGGGATAAGGAGTTCTAAACTAAGTGGTATTACTACTTAAAGTTAATCCTTTCACCCCAAAAACTGTAACCACCAAAAAGAGGGCCAAGAACTCACCTGCGCCTGCGGGTGTCCCATGTGGTGGGGCAGCGACATCTGGGCATTCATGTGGTGGCCGGTCATCTGGTCCACGAGCGGGGGCGACCCACCCTCGGGCACCATGCCCAGGCCCCCGACGGCCGCCTGCAACTTGCAGCTCGCATAGACGACGGGCTGCTGCTGTTGCTGCTGCTGCGGATGTGTCACCTGTTGCGTCACCTGGGGGAGCTGCTGCTGGTGTTGCTGCGGACCCTGCTGCTGCGCCTGCTGTTGTTGTTGCTGATTCTGCGACGGCTGTTGCTGCTGCGAGACCAGCTGACCGTTGGTCTGCGCCTGCGGCATGACCCCGCCCACTTGGCTGGAGGGACTGTCCGGGCGGGAGTAGACCTGGTGCTGCTGTTGCTGCTGCTGGTCCATGCCCTGGCCGTTGTAGTAGGGCATGCGGTCGTAGGGCGGGAAGCGCGGGTAGGGCATGTTGCCCTGATGGTTGGGGTTCTGGTTCGGATAGTGATGCATCTGCTGGGCATCGAGATCGGTGACGCCGTTTCCCGGGTAGTGGCCATGATGCATGTCCGCCCCCATGTACGAGTTGGTGAAGTACGACGTCATGCTCTCGCAGTTGTTTGTACTCATCGTCATTGTGGCGGCTGCTTCAGCGTCCGCTGCTCCTGCTCCGACTCCGACTCCGGCTCCTCCCCCCAAACCTGATCCTGGCGTGAACGTGATCGTGACTGCGGCTCACCGGCTCAGCGGCTCTTTACTGGCTAGTGACTGTTGGTGGTGCTCCTCCGTGCTCCTGTTGCCTCCGTGCTTTTAGCTACTTTTTCTTATATACAAAGTAAACTAAAAAATGAATTAAAAATTAATAAAATTAAGGAAATTGATTGATTTACAAACCACTCACCTAAATATCCTTTGAACACTTAAGTACAATGTACAGTTGCGTATCCTAATCTTAGATAGTGTGTAGTTGTGGTGTGAGGTATAAAATGATTTCCGCTTAACTGTTCCTCTGTTTGCTGTCTTGGCCAAAAGTGACAAGTTATCTCCCTTCCTTGGTGTCCTTTGATCCTTAAGTAGCCTTATCCTCTAGTTGGTATTCCTCAATTTTGATTTTGAAACTCTGGAAAAGAAATGCCGCCAATTAAAAATGTGTTCACAGCTCAAAGTTTGTGTTTAAAGTGAAGTTCGAACTGGGGTTCTTGATGGGTGACTTGGCCTGAGATCCAAGCTGGGAGCAACATGTGGAGTCTTCTGACAAATGGGTTATGGTATGCTTCGACAAGTTCTGAAGCAACGATTTATTTCAAGATTTCCGACCAAAAACCTAAAGAATATTCTAATAAAAATCAGACTATCCTCATCAGAAAGTCCCCAACTTCCCAGCAGGGTTGTCATGCTGCACTGATTTTCCCCTCGCTAAACTTTGGTAATCCTCCAGGCGAAGATCCCTTTTGGAATGCAGTCTCCCCCTGGCCCTGGTCCCCTGGTTCTGACAAGCTGACAACATTCATTGAATTTATGAATATGAAATCAATTGTGTTATCCCCTTTTGACCTGACATCCTTCCGGTCAATGTGATTTAATTTCCTGGCTCATTATCACGAGTCTCTGCCCTCATAAATCACAAATGCCCCGCCCCCCAGTCCAAACAATCCCAGACGGTCAGAACGGGACGGGGTGCCAGGACCTGCATATTCATATGGCGCTGTCTCTGTCTCTGTCCCGCTGGCATCTGTGGTTATGGTGACAACCCTGCCGAAAAGCCCCAAACAAACTAACGGTAACTTGCTGTCGGAAATGAAACTTCCCCGACGTTTGTGCGGGGAATCCCACAAATCAAAAAGAAGAAGAACTCGCCGAGAAATAAAAAGGACACAATAAAATAAAGAGAATGGTAAACTTTAAAATATTTCAGTCTTGCATGCCCCTCCACTTTTATTGTGTGCTCTGCATTCTCCACTCTTCCTGGTCTCGTCCTGGCATACCAAGGCCAGGGCCAGGGACCAGGAACCCGGGACCAGGCATTTCCCTTTTGTTAACGAAATAATTTTCTTGCCTCCGCCGCTGCCAAAGCCAAAAGCTTCCCTTTCAATTACACATTTCCCAATGACGGCGATTGAAGTTGTACGGCGAGCGGGGGTGGAGGCGGGGTACAGGACATGGCGCGAAAGGACAATGGCGGCGGCGGAAGGAAGCGTGTGTTTGTGTTTGCGATTGTTTGGGGCCGAGTGTGTGTGGGGGGTCGAGAGGGCCGAAACGGAAGCTGGCAAATCGCTGGACTGTGCCCCGATCTCTCTGCCTATATCAGACATGTGGGCGGGCAGGAGCAGGAGCCTTGGGGTAGGCAAAGAAACTCACTCAAGCACAAGCGAGATGATAATAATGTCTGATGTGTGTTTTGTCTGTTCTTCCTGTTTTTCCCCCCGTTGCGGTTGATGGCCAAGGGCGGAGGGAGGGTGCCAGGGGGGAAGCGAGGGCGAAGTGCCTGCCTGCGCTATATGATTTATGTTCGTCTGATGTGATTTATTCAAGCGGAGAAATGGCTAAAATTTGATTTGCCATAAGAGATTTCGCATCACTTTAATTGCCAACACCTTGGTTAGAGAAATATGAAGTTATGCTCTTATTTTGTGTCATAATTCGATTACAAATAAGACCAGGAAACTTAATTTATTAAATAAACTGAAAATACGAGTTGGCTACTGCCGCCATCTGCTGTGAGTTTTGAGAACTATCTCTGAAGTTGTTGACATCTTGTCAAATTTGACATGTGTCAGTTGAGTTCTACACAACACACCCTAAAAGTATGCAGCAAATTTGTTGAGTAAGAGAAAACGCCATCTAGGAGATAGTTTTCAAAACAATAAATTTAATATAATATTAATATATAAATGGTAATTAAATTAGGAAATTAATTTGCAGACATAGTATTATATAAGTATAGGTCAAAGTATAGGTCATAGTATTATATAAGTGGATCATGTATGTTCTCCCCTATTCTAGAATTGAGACCTATTAACATATGTATGTATATGTATGTAGGTCCAAATAGTGCCACATGTTTTTAAAAAATTACTAACAACCTTAAAAAACATTTTTTTTATTTTGTTAAATTTTTCCATTTTTTAACAATTTTTTAGCCATCCTGTTCCACTGTGCTCGTGCATTTAGCCAAGTCAACAACCACAGTCTTAAGCCCGGCCCACTTTAGGCAATTTTTTTTTCTCAAAAAAAAAGCTCAAAAAAGGAGGAGCCAAAAAAATTCTACAGAATTGAATTTTTATAATTATTATTAATTATGTATTAAAGCTGAATTATTGGCATTTATTTTACAAGATAATTTACGCTACGTGCGCTACATCCTCCAATGCCACCCGCCGCCCCATCACCGGCCGCCCAATAAGCATCCGCGCCACTTCCGCGATCTCCACCTGCGCCACCGGCTCCACCACGTCCTGACCGATTATTCCACTGGTCGCGCCACGTCCTCCACTGCCACCGGCCGCCCAATAAGCATCCAGTTTTAAGCCACACAGAAAGCCAGCTGATTGCCCAACTCGAACCGGAGCAGAGTGGTCAGAAAAGAGTCGTCATCCATCACCCAGCCGAGGAGGATTTTTCCGGGAATTCGGTTAATGAGCACATCAACACTTCCCATCCCGTTCATCATTCGCATCCACTCCCACGCATGCGCCGTCTCGTCTAACATGGCGAAATGGAATGAATGACTTCTTTCTTCAGCCATCAACTGCAGCCATTTTGATTTACGACTGCCAATGCGGAATAGCGTCGGCACTTCATATTCTGCTGGAGACAGTTTAAACTTCGAAAATATTTCAGATTTTTGCTTTGAATTTATGTAGATTTTCAAATACCTTTAAAGTTTAGCATTTTTAAATAAACTAACTAAAATGTCTGCCAGAAGCCTCTAATTTTTTGTTGCCATTTAGACGAAGGCGTCACCCGTCAACTGTCAGTTCTTGTTTCCGCCACTCGACTTGCCATTGTTGGCGGCACCATTTGAAGAAGGGCGGCCAAGAGGCAGAAACAGAGCAGCCCCGAAGAGGAAACACCAGGCAACGGTAAACTCAGCAAAGCCAGTTAGTGCGTCTCATCTTCAGGTAACAGAGATACCTGAAGGGGCAGATAAGGGGGGTAAGAATGGGGAGGATGTCTCTCAATTAAACAAAGTTGAGAGAAGCGTTCTGCATGGCTGCGGTGCCGCTGTCCGACCTCCTCCGGCAGCTTAAATTGCTGCTGCTTTGCATTTTATTTAAATAATAATTGGCTTGACTAAGTTTAGTTGAAGAGGGGCAGGGGCGAGGGGTGGAGCTCCTAGCATTGGCCTCAAAAATCTTTGAAGATGGGCGAGAATACCCAAGCCAATTAGAAGAAATCACACACAAAGCGTTAAGGAATGAGGAAATTTAATTAGAAGAGACTACTTTTTCAAAAAGCAGGCCATAATAAATCATAGATAAAATCAACCTCATTGTTTTTAATTATTTTCTTACAAACTATCATCTTTTTAAAAAATTATTTTAATATTTTAAAAAATTTCATGTTTTACAAACGACCTTGGAAATCAAAACCAATGGGCCTCGTCTCCGGAATAAATTTCAATAATCAGCTGAGGAAAAACTCAGAGCACGTGCTCTCGAGGAGGGAGGCCCAAAAATGCCAGAAGAGTTTATTGTGCCATCAACTAAAAGAGCAAATAAAATTTTATTACCACTATAAATTTCAGGCACTTGAAGCAACTTACCAAAAACAGAGGCAAACATCAGAAAAAAAAGCCTGAAAAACCCTACAAAAATAGTCCAGGTGCGTAGGCGAGGATTATTCGGAAGGAATACCAGAGGAACACGCGTACAAAGCGGAATTTTAAGTCGCGACAGCCCCTCGATATCTACGCCCCTGACTTGCAGGCCATGGCCAGGTTCTGGCCAGGCCGGCAGGAGGATAAGCCCACGCGATTTGGAAACGGCGGCCAGACAGAGACGCCAAGACGGAGAAGAAGCGACCGAGGCAGGAAAGGAAATACCGGATAGGGGAATGGGGCAAGAAGCCCCTGGTAGAATCGATGAGGGGCGCCGGGCAGCCGAGGACTGCATTTTTCTCACATTTATCTTGGCTGCGAGTGCTGCGTTTTATTGCGATTGGAAATTGAGCTTGTCAACGCGGCAGCGGGCAACGCTTGGCTAGCCACCGAGCACTGTGCTCAAGCGGGGGTGGGGTGGGGCACACAAGAGGGTTCAATGCGAGGGGCAGATGGTCGAGTTTTGGGTTCCCTGGGTTTCGTGGTTCCAGAGATAATAATAAAAATGTCAGGCTTTGACGATTCAGCTCGTCGCCATCGTCAGTTCATAAATAAACTGATGCACTGGACAAATATTTTTAAAAAATTTATAAAATATAAACTTTTAATATAAATTAATGTATGAAATTATTTTATCTACCCTCATTGTTAAACCTTTTTTTTAACAGTGTCCTGTTGACTCCTTTTCCCATTTTTAGCCCGTTTCGTTTTCCCTTTTTTTTGCTGCATTTAAATTTTGGCCATGATCATGGAGAAGTGGCAGAATAAGGCATTTTCCTGGCTATTTAATTGGCGCATACTTAGCATTTACTAATGGACATGAGGCACAGTGTGAAGGCACCTGCCCCAAGTCAGAAGAGTCTCCTCCGGGGAATAGCTAGCTGGGCGGTGTGGCGGGAGCCAGGTGGCGGAAGGGGTAACCAGACAGTGAACACACACAGAAATGGACAACGACAAGAGCTGATAATAAATCTAATTGACACATTTGCAATGGTTGACTCCCCGTCTGCAATTCCATCGAGAGATCCAGCGAGAGATTCCCGATCCGAGATGCAATTAAAACTGCAACTGCATTACTAATGATCCTGGATCTTCGATCTCCATCTCCCTCACTCGCCATTGCAATTATATAAATGGTATATATACATATATATATATATGTACATACCTATACAAAAAAAGTTGAACGACTTGACAATGTACACGCACACACGAAATACATAAATTGTTGCGATCATATCGAATCATCGATCAATCGGATGGATCGTTCCTGCCGCGATAACACCGCAGGACCTCAGCCA